GAGGAGCAGAGGAAGGCCGCCCGGGAGCGGAGAGAGAATGGCACAGAATGGAAACCACTGCTCTTCCGGCATGATGCCACGACTAACGAATGGCGCTACAAATACGAGGAGTGAGTGGTGGGGTTGGGGGTTATGAACAGACTGCGCTTGAGTCCCCATGGATACAAGCAAGATTACAGACCTGTAATTCGGGTCCTGCCATTCCCCAGACTATGCCCTGAGCTTGCTCTTTCTGAGCTCCATGTCATTATTAGAATACATATTCCTGATACTAATAGGGAATAGCTGGAAATGAGGTCTTGGCAATGGAAAATCTGGTATGCCATTGGTGCAAATCCCTATTGCTGCAATCAAACGTGGAATCATTTAGGAGAGATTTTCTGTGTTGTGTGAGCAGAGTTTACAACTGTTTTCTCCCCTGGCAAGAAGGGTGAAGCCCCTGGAGACTGAACCCCCCTCATTTATCGCTAGGAACTGTGAATGTAGAGGGAAGTATCTGTTACTCCTCACATTGCATCTGCCGAAACTGTTGTTAGTGCCAGGAGTGAATGCCTGCCCTGATGCATGTGGAATTGGTGCATTGTTCTTAACGCACCGGGGGGATTCTTGCTTTTCTGACGTTTTTTCCTTTGTTTTCAACAGTTTAAGACCTTGGGATCCTTTGAACGACATTGCCCAATTTGAGAAGAATGGGATACTTCAGACCATGGAAAGACACTTATCCACAAGGATGTCAAACCACAAAACAACATGCATAAACAATCAAATTACAAGGCACAAGGTAAAAAGCCTGGTTTAGGGAATATAATGTTCTTTAAGACTGTTAAGATACACGGCCCTTTTCTGCAGCATTTTCATGTAAGCACAGCATAGGCTGAAAGGTTTGGGTTCAGTAAATATAGCTTACGACTCTATACCTGCAATATTATACCATCATTAACTCCAAATAATTACAATTCTTGGTTGACATATTGTGTCCATTTTGGTATTTTTCTCCCACACAGTATTAGTGACAGTGACTGTTATACTGGGTTTTGCACATGACTGAGCTGAACTTTACTGTTCTGTGTTTCTAAAGCAGAAAACTTCCCATAGTGAGGGTGTGAGCAAGGTTTTGGAGTACACAACTGAGATCCTGCAACTTCAGTTTTGGTCTTTGCCTCTTAGACAAGACAAGAAACCTCTCTCCATCCTCTCCCTTAAACAGGGATGATACTTTCTCATTTAATTGCATTCATCTTTGGAGTAATATATGTCATTCATAAAATGCTTTGTAAATGTAGAACTGCTGAACTAGCTTGATGTAATTCATATTACATGGAGGAACCTAACCCTAACCGTAATCCATCTTATTATTATGAACATAGACTTTTCTTTTATAATACCCCAAATCTGAACGTCTCTGAAACAATCGGAAAATTGAGGTTCGTAGCTGCTTCTCAGACCCTCTAGTGAGACACGTTTGGATCAATGTGTTGGGTTTACCCAGTCAGGAGGTATGGAGAAACTTTCCAAAGTGCATCAAGAAATTAGGTATAAAAGTTCCGTGATGTTTAAATTGTTCAGGCACCTTCTGAAAAATCTTCCCCAGGAAATTTTATCCTAAATTTTTCTTTTTTTTACCCTTTCCCTTACGTATCTCATTGGCAGGTACACAACTTAGCAAAAGAACTATAAAATTCATCATTAGTATGTGCCAGTTAAAGCTACAACAAGAATAATTTGGATGAGTGTCTTAAGGGTATTATCATTTGAGGAAATGCTTCTGTATGGGGCATGTGTGTAATATCCTTAACTAGCTGCCAGGAGTTCAACTACTAGGAGTTGCTGAGAAAGCAATCAAACCTCACAATCTCACAGATATTCCCCAGCACCCCGAATTATTTTGTTTAAAGCCAAACACGATAGTCTTCAGTTTGGCAGTGACCGAGTCTTTTAATCCCTGTTTTATCCAGAGGTCTGCCAAAGACTGCAGGCGCCGCAAAACCAGTGATCAGCCATCCAACCACAGCCAGAATACAGAGAGCAGCTGTTCAACGCCAGAGTCGGTGCAGGAGCTCTCAGATGACGATGGCAAGTATTTGGGTATCACTGGGTCAGGCTTTAATGTTCTTCCCTTGGTACCGTATTCCTTGAGCCAGCCCTGGGATATTTCCTGGCCCAGTTAATACCGTGGGCCCATAGCCCACAGACAAACACAGAGAATGTTCTGGTCTTCTGTTCTCTGTCCATACTACTTCTCTTTCTGCCTTACACTATCCGTGCCAACAAGGGCTTCTTAATTCCTGGCGCAAACATGTTGGAAAAATACACTGACATTCTAGTCAACAGATAGAGAACAGGCTTTGTTTCTCTTTCTCGTTTCACAGCCTTTGTTGCAGGTGACCTTGAATGTTTCAGAGATGGGGGCAGGTGTGAGCACTCCATTCCCCTCCCCTCAGCTGGGGAGCATGTTGCAATAATTGTTTCCTGAGAGCTGAGAAGGGGCCCCAGGCCAGTTCTGTTCACCTGGGTCTTCAGGGTGAAAGATTCTGTCCCCTGTCTCCTTCTCCCCATGTTTCCTCATGAGAATGTTCCCCCTGGCTCTGACAATTTGATCACAGCCAGCCACTTGCTGAGTGAACCTGGTTTGTGATTCAGCACCACCACCAGAGATGGTGATGCAAAACATAATGTCCTTCAATACTTTGCTGCAGGGTTTGGAAGCCTGTGCGTTCAGTGCGGGAAAGAAATGAATCACCTGAAGGAAATTCATTCAGCTGTCTTATCCCTACAGAGAGCCCAACAGGACATACACAGGTAACCATTTTCTCTCATCAAATCAGTGATCTTAATGGGCTAAAAATAACCTGTGGCATTTATGTCCTCCACTGCAACCATCAGAGCATCCTCACCAGCTGCAGGGGTGCAGTTAATAACTGTTTCAATAGGTAACCTATTAACACACAGGAAAGGCAAAGCCACCCCCTGCTTGAAACACTGAAGAAATCTCTTCCTCTTAAGACACTCTTTATGGGGCAAAAAGCATCACCTCAGCATGTTAAGCATCTCTTGGCACTCCCAACTGCAAAACAGCTGCAGAAGTTGGGAGGGGCTGGGTCAGGTCCTGGCTATAAATAAGTCTCTGCCAGGCAAGAAGGGGGGGGTGTTGGGTGTCTCTTCTCATCAAGTATGTTATGAATTTGCCCAGTTTGCTTTAGAGATGCAGGTGTGTGGTCTGAAAACTGGGCTTCATGGGTGAAAAGCACTAAATTCCCGCTTTTAGTATAAAATGCTAATTGCTGTCTGAGGTAAGCAGTGAGCACACCTGTTTAACCTACTGCTGGCAAAGGGCTTTGCCCCACAGACTCCTGTGGGGAGGGCAGGGGAGGTATTAACTGCTACATCTGCTCCAGGGAGCCCTGCTGATTCTCCTCTGCATGAGGAGTATTACCCAGCTGTCTTGAGGCTTCAGGGGGGTGGGATCTCACATGAGGCCTACTGTTTCTGGATGCCGGAGCCATTGGTGATACGGCTTTAGTTTTTCTCTGTTGCTCTTGGGGGTGTCCAGGGCAAGTGCATGTACTTGGGAAGGTTAGGATGTAGGTTTGTGAGTGGGTGCTGGATGAAGAGGTTTCTTGGGGTTTACGATCTTACACCTTCTCGTGCCAACCAGCATGCTCTGCCACATCCAGCAGCAGCCAGAAGTAATTATCTTTCTGTTAAAAAGAAGTGGGGGGTAAAGTCTGCGAGGCACGGCGCTGTATCTCTGAGGGTGTTTCTGAAGTCCAAGTGTGAAAGCTCCAGGTACGCGTACATGTGTGAATGCACACCTCCCTCCAACACACAAATAAACATACTGCTTTCTTTTCCAGAAACCTCAGTGCTCTGAACAAAAAGTCCTTCCACAGGAAGGTCTCTTCTGAAAGCTTCCTCCTGGACTCTCGCTGTTGGTTTCTCCTCTGCATCTTTCTTACGTGTCAACTATTCATTAATTATGTCTTCAAATAAAACCACTACGTTTGGCAGCAATAATGATTACTGGCTGCAGGAGAGGGGCCACTCACGCAAGGAGCCCAGCGAGGCACCAAAGCACTTTAGAACCAACGCAGCAGAGGTGTGGAAGAAAGTTGAAAAACGAGGTTAAAAAAGGACCTGAGAACCTGCAAAACTTTGTTCCTGCAGATTATGTCATTTTTGCCTTTTACATGTACATCTTCAAGGACCTCTTAACCTGTACGGGCCTTAATGCTGAAGCCAAATGTAGCTTTAATTGTGCAATTTGTTTTCTATGTCTTGTCATATTCTGATGCAATTAATAATTACCCAGCAGTATTGGTACCCCTAAAATGGTAAACCCCCCTGTGTTTTGGAAAAGTCATGCTGGGCTGGGTCACAGCTCTACGAATGAGGTAGTGCAGCTGGGAGGCTGTAAAGAACTGATGTCCACGGACCCTGTCCGGCTGCCTTTAATTATGGGAGGGAGCACACTTGGTCCAAAAAATCCACCCCCAGGATATTAAGTCATGATCTGTTTTGTCAGCACACACAGAATGGGACCTCAGGATGTGTTTTATTTTCCATTTGACAGGAACTGTAAATATGCACAATTTCCGAGAGCTTTCTCCTTTAGGAAATGGGAAGTATTCAGCGAAAGCTCCTCGTTTGGTTACAGAGCTGACTGGTGTCCTGGGCCGGGCCCATCGAGTGTAATGTCAAACATGCCTATTCGTAAAACCTGGTCACTTACTATTATTGTTATTATTTGCTATATGGCTGTTTTATATCACACACTAGCATTGTAGAGAGGAATCCACTGCCCCAGGATAGGTGAGAAGGACAGGAGAGATATAGGTGTACATGTGTTCGGTTGTAGGCACATTTATTGTCAAAGGTCAGGAAGGAGGAAGGGTTTTGCCACTGCATTGTTCGACTCTGTTAATAGTCTTCCTATTTTACACCATTTTTTAAAGATTTGCAATATTTTCTGTAGACTGCGGACAATACTAAGCCTTTCTTTTCTGGCCTGAAGTAGTTCCAAGTGGTAAGTACTGCTATATATACAGCCTTAAAATACTTAGTGGTGGTGCCAGTCTGGGCTATCTTTCAATGTAAATGTTTCCAAATTTTTAAGTACATTCCTCGTCATATTCCCCAGTTTGGGGAAACTTGTTTGTGCTTGATATGTTGAAATAAAACAACACACAACTTTCAGTGGCAGTCTATCTGACAAATTATTTGAGTGTTTGAACTCAGTTTTGTGTTTTATAGCATTTTACAAGTAAACAACTCTTAGGCCGTGCTTTTTAGAGGAAAAACTACAGGAGAAGACCTTCAAGAATCTCAGACATAGGCCATAAGTTAGAACAGCAATAGCATTTTGATACCCCTCTGGCTCAAATTCTGTGTGTCTTCTAGTTGTAGCAACTTCCTCAAAATAGAAAGAAAAGTGGTTGTCTTGATTTTCACTGTTGTACATGTCAATGTACAGACTTGTCTTGGACTTATAAAAACCTTTATATTAAGGAGGTAACTTGATGATAGAGAATAGATGGTTCCACAGAGAGAACCACAACTCTCTGACATGGACAGGATAAGAGATGGCATCTGGAAGCTGACATTCAAGAAATAGATCACAAATAATAAAGGGTGAGAGTGACTTTGTTGTTAGCAAAAGTCTCCAGAAAACCAAACAATTCTTCATCCTTGAGGAATCATCCTTGAAAATGTCAGCATTACTGATCCAGATTGGGTGCCTTTTTGAAGGAGGACATCCTAGTCACTCCTTTCTGAGGAAGTCTCACCCGTGCCACATGCGGTGTAAACCTTGGTGAGAGGGGGTCCCCCTGGCCTCTGCCTGTGAAAGAATGTCCAGCTGCTAATAGTACCTGCCTGGCAATGCAAAGTCCTGTACGCACCTTGAAAGCATTTGCTCCTAATGCTGTGCAAACACGCCTGCTAATTTCCAGTCTAAATCTCCCTTTGAATCCTTCAGCAAGTCAGCACATCTCTAGCCTGTCAGCACAGCTGTCCTCGTTGCACACATTCCCCTGTGGGACCACATATCTGAGTTACTGATAGGGGCCTCTCCTCTTCTGTAGGGATATTTACATCTTTTGGGTACAAATGTATTCTGGGTTTGAGAAATAGTTACTAAAAAAAGTGAAAAATAAAAAAATCCCTAAACCCACCTGAGCCAAAGAGCAGCAGCGCTCAACAGGAAGCCTTCAGTAGGTGTACAGCAAATGCTTGAAATTCTTTGGATTGTTTCCATTTTACCAAACTACGCACCCACAGGGATTTCACTGGGACTTGTTACTGCAGCTAAATAAAACAAACATTGTTACCACGAGAGGAGCAGTTCAATGAAAGAAACTATTAACCTACATAAACTATGCATCACCAGAGGAGGAGTTTCCAACATTTACTGCTGCTGCCCCAGGGGATTAAAAATAATCCAAAAAGGAACAATCTATAAATCCTTGTGCCATTAATTTAAATCCTATTTCCACATCTGGAGGTGAATGTTCCTACATGCCAGTTATGTGCACACAGAGGGAGAAAGGTGTTTTTGAGGAAAATCATGGCCGGAAATGTTCTTTCTCTAGGAGGAATAACTGCTGTTGAAACAATTGAGAATCCTTTTAGGGCTTTAGAAAACCCGGGTATGCACCACGTTTGCACATTTTTGGAAAAATTCTCTTTCCATCTTTTGCCCCTCCTTTTCGTGATCAGCGAGTAGCCCTTCCGCAACACCTGAGCTTTGGGTGGAGACACACGAATCGGCCCATTTCCTAATATGGCTTCCTCCTGCTCCTAATAGGTGCAAAGCATGGTAGCAGGGAATGTCCTAACTCACGACGTGGTTCGCCTGACTCCAGTGGGTGGGCAGTGTGCTGTCGGAGCACACGCTCTCCGGTTGTCCCGCTTCTCCTCTGCGAGGGCTCTGAAGCCCCGGAGCGGCGGGGGCGGAGGTGGCCCGCCCCCGGGGGCGGATAAAGCGGTGGCACCGCCCCGGGACACGCTGAGAGGAGCGGAGCGCGCAGCGGTGCCGAGGCGGGCGCTGCTATGGGAGCCGGAGCGGTGCCGGGGCTGCTGCTGGTGGGTGCTGGGGGAACCTTGCGGGTTTTTCTGTCCTCCTTTTCCTCAAGAGACTTTAGTAACGTCACTTAACTTTTTTTGTTGTTGTTCGTGTTGCCTGAAGTTTTGGGAATCCTGAGTTAATACAGCTCTCCTAAACCTAAAACGATAAGGAAGCGCAGCTGTCGTGGGGGTAAACCCAGCCCTTCCTTCTCTCCTCGGAAAAAAAGAAAATTACGAGTCGGGTGTGAGCTCTTTAATAGTGCTCGTGTTATCTAATTGTGAAATTGGTGGTTTTCTCAACTACGCGATTATGGGGAAAACTTTTGGTGCCTCGGGGAAGAGAATTGAATGAGCGGAGCTGCGGGAGCCGGGGGGTGGGGACTGTCGGTTTCGGTTTAGAAATTGGCCACCGCTGGCAACGGGGTCCGCGGCCGTCCCTTCCCCTCCTCCTGCTTCTGTTTTAGGACTTTCTCTCTCGCGCGTGTGTTCTAAGTGAGGGCTGTACCTCGGTGGCCCGAAACCCGCGGCGTCTGGGCTTCCCTCTCGTCTCCTTGCGAAGCGCCCGGCCTGCCGGTGCTGGGAGGCTGGGCAGCTGATCCCCGCTCCGCTGGAGGCTTGTCGAGGGATGTGCGTCCCGCGGGTTTCTTTAAAAAAAAAAAAAAAATCTAATGCTTCTGTGGCTACAGTAAGTTATTTTTGTTAATGACTCAACTACTTGCCTTCTGATGAAGATTACAGAGCCAGCGAGAAATGTTGGATGAGGTTTCTGGGGCGTTCCCTCCGTTTTGCTGGAGGAAGACTAACACTGCCCCTCCTGAATTAAAAAGACGGGAGGAGGGAGAAAGGAATCCCTTGCACAAGGCAGAAACCTCGGCCTCTGAAGTTCAATTGCAGTGAATTAGTAAAAAGAAAACAGAAGTTTAAAATGGAGGTGGGGATCTGGGGCAATAGTTGCCGAAAACCCGCCAGCCGCTGCACAGTGCTGCTCTAACCCCAGCTTTGTGATTGTAATTAGCGCTGTGAACGGCACACTTACAGAAATTAGCTTGGGTTTCCTTTGTGGCTTCCCATGAAGTTCTGAGTGTGTTTTCAAGTCTTTACAGGAACATCTCCCCGAGATGGTTATCGTGTCCTGGGAGGCTGAATCACTCAAACACCTGCTTGTCTCTGCTGTAGGTTACACTACTGATAATGCCTGGAACAGGAGCACAGGACTGCGGGGAGGGAGAATACTTACATGAAGGTCACTGCTGTGTATCTTGTCCAGCAGGTAAGACTTCAGGCCGTTATAGTTGATAACGGCCTTTTTTTTTTTTTTTTTCCCCTGTGGAGATGACTGCGTCAGTACTGGTTTTTACACTGCATCCAGTGAAAGTGTAAGCCAAGCTGGAGCTGCGGTGACTTCTTGGTGCTGCTAAGGCATTCCATTTTGAAGCGAGAGCCCCTTGCGCAATATGTGATGACTGGGAGAGGTGCCTTGGCAGCAAGCCAGGAAACCTCTGCCCACTGTTGAGTATGAAATGTTTTTTAGAAAAAAAACCCCAAACTTTAGCACAAAGACCGGGGCTAGGGGAATTCTGACATTTCTGTATCTGTAGGTAAAACTTTGGTTTGCCTTTGCTCTCCCCTCCTTGCTCAATGTGTGCAGAGTTAACAAGTTTTGTGCCAAGAAGCACCCTGCCCTTAGATTGTATCGGAGGGCTCTTTGGTGTATTTAGAGATAATTCAGAGCAATTGTTATGAACGATTCTCACTGTGCTTGCCATGCCCCTTCGGAGGAGATGGCATTGGCCCCATAGGTGACTCTGAGCTGCCACATTGAGTCATCCTTGTCCTCGGTGTGTCCTGGCTGGGTGCCTTGTTTGCCACCGTTCCCTGTCTGAGCAGCAAGCTGCGAACGTGCCTGCTGCGTCACTCAGTTCACGTGGTGCACTGCTCGCTTGCGAGGAGGTGTTGACCTTTTACCAAAAATGGCTTTGTGCTGTAACATCCTGTTAAATGATCCCTTGAGACTGCTGCTGCTTCTCCTCTTCCCCAGGTACTTATGTTGCTCAGCACTGCAGTGCTCCGCACTTGAGAGGAAGATGTGTCCCTTGCACTGAAGGAGAGGGTTATACCGCCCATGAGAACGGCTTGGAAGAATGCTTGTCATGCAGACAGTGCAAAGATGGTACCAAGCACAGTTTTGACGAAACCTTAACCCTTCTCCCCCTTCTTTAATGTGGAAAGCCCGGTGCTGTGGTTTTTCGTATTTCCAGTCATTGACTATATTGAATTGGCACATAAATGGCCTTTATGGCCCGAGTATAATTTTTGCACAGTTGTAGAGTCACAACTTTTATATTTACTTTTTAACTTATATTTTATTTTTAGATCAGATAACTTTGAGACCCTGTACTCTGACGCGTGATACTGAATGCCAATGCAAACAAGGGTATTTCTGCCCTGCTGAGGGCTGTGAAATATGTCAGAGATGCAGTACAATGTAAGTTTGATAATGAATATAAGTGACTGTTTTCCTTTGAGGGAATGTTAGAGCTGTGGCCCAATCTGTGCCAATACCTAACACGACAGGCTGTAATAATTGCCCTGGAGCCAAATGGCATTATTCATGCATTTAAATTTTAGGTGTCAAAAATATGAGAGACTGAGACCTAGAAAGATACGGATTTTGGTATTGTTGTGCTTGTCGCTTATGGCTGTAAGCTTACACTTTTCACGTCTTCAGATTAGTACTTCTCCACGTACACACTTGAATGAGCTTTGTAGCAGCCAGTCCAAAATTTTGGGAGGTGGAATGACCTGTTGAAGGAAACTAACTGCGCATGAATAATGCATCTACTCTGTAGGGGTTCTTTCCTGTTACTTAAAGGCTAACATACATGAGCTTTACCTGCTTTGCTTCTATTTAATCTTGTAGTCTTATTTTGGGGTGTTTAAAGGTGCACTTTAACAAAGTTTTATGCATGTTCTGTTCGTGTCTCTAAGCTCTGCCTGAAAAAAATCAGGCCTGGGCAAAACTGCATATTGCTCTGGAAATGTTGATACATCCCTGTGTTGTTGCCATCCACTTCAGGTGTCCGGAAGGGAAAGAAATTGTGCAGCATTGCAATGCTACTACGGACCTGGGATGTGGCTTACCTGATCAAGGTCTGGTACACAAATACCACTCAGCTTGGTCTGTTGGGTCTGTGGTTTCAGGCTAATAACATCAGAGTAGTCTGTAAAACAGTGGTTTGAACTACTGTAACACAATCAAGAGCTGCTATATTTTGGTCTGGGAATTGCTTGCTAGAGACAAGTTCTCAAAGGGTTTGGAGTGACAAACCATCGTAAATTTCAGACTGTGACAAGTTTACACGTGTTGCCAGGGTTTTCAAAGTTGCAACAGTGACACTGTTGAAAGTTATAAATAATACAAAGATTTCTTTCATGTTTTCTGTGTCTGAAGAGCTGTATATAGAGCAGCTTTCTCTTCTGCTGGTAGATAGCTTCTGCCAGGCCTAGAGAAAGAAGGAACTGATGCTACCAAAGGCTACAGCACCTGAAGCTTGCTGTCATCTTTGCATGCTTGTTTCCCCCTCTTCTTAAATGTCTCTTCAGAAAGCCTTGTAGAAGTTGTATTGCAGCTATGTACAGAATCCTCTGCTGCCTTTGGGATAAGGATGTGCAGTGCAAACAAGTACTTGCACTTTCAGGTCAGGTGATAGTCCCAGTGCCTTTTCCAGGGCAAGCTAGCTGGGTCACTGTACTAGCACTGAGCTTAGGTTGTTCTCTAGGACAGCGGGGAAGACTTGCACTTCAGAATATCTTGTTTGCAGGCCGCTTCAGTACTAATTCTATTCCTTTTCCCTCTGCAGGAAGCACAGCTTTTGTTTGGATTAGTGTGATTATTTTGGTGGTTCTTGCTGGTTTGTTGCTGTTCTTTATAATTAGAAAGCTGAAGAGTAATAAAGGTAACTGCTTGATTATAATCTGTAAACTTTCCAGAACTAGGCAAAGCATGCACTAAGGCTATCCCTGGTTTTTGTTTTACCTTGTCAGGGAACCTGTTTAAGCTCTAGCTCACTTAGTATGTGAGCAATTAAGTAACTCCTGTATAACAGAGACTAGTTTTGTTCAGTAAACAAAATGCATAAACTTTAACTGTGAGCTTTCTTACTTTGCTGACAGATGCTTTTGCTTCAAAGCAAGGTTAGCGTAAGGTCCATTTAAGGACTTTTCCTATCTACTTGCATCGTATTTGCAGAGTGAGGAAAAATCTGTGTGTGAGCTCAAACATATGGGGCAAAAAGTAGCAACTAATTAGATCATTAGCTACTTTCATTCACTATGTGTGGCTGTGGAGATTTTTCTACAAATTGTTGCCCTTTCATCATTTGAGACTCTTAACATTAATGTTAGGCTGGTAAGTCCTGTGTGAATTAATTTTATTTTCTTTAGTGGAAATTGACATGCTTTCCTGAGAAACTTTTCTTTCCACTACTGCATATTAAAGTGTTTTTGCAACTAGCTTAGTTAGGATAATGTTGAAAATTATTCTGAATTTTGAATGTTAACTTTGTTCAAATCATGTCTTACTGATTATATTGCAGTAAAGACAATTTCTGCCTTCTATTTTTGTATTGCAAAATTTGCAATTTGCTCACAAAAATGCTAAGAAGCCTAAGCTGGTGGTGGGGAGGTTGAAAGAGCGGCTTAAAAGCCAAACTACATCTTGTGGTCTGTACTCCCAAGTACTTGAGTCCAAGTGGGACTCCTCAGCCCCTGTATGAAGGCACAATGGTGCTGTTGGTGGAAGCTAAGGGGTAGTACTCATGAAATGTATGACAGGTTAAGGAAACTAAATGGCTTGTATTAGAGCTTTGGTTTGTGTTAAGAATGTGTCTACTGCATATAAATCTTGTGTGAAATGTTTAAGTTGCTGCAATTTCTAAAAGTTTCTCTGACATTTATCTTGTTTTCCAGCTGCTTCAGCTGATAAAGATGCAGAGAAAGGTCTGGTAAGTATATGGTGGATCAAGTGTTTCATCTCGGTTTTCTGCAGCTTAATTGTGCACTGCCTAATTGTACCTGATACACAGCTCTCAATTTTTGTCTCACTGTAGACCTCTGGTAGGCTGCGTTCCTGTGATGCAACAAGTTGTGATTTGTACAGGGCCAGATGTTAGCAAGGGCCTGATGCATTCTTTAGTTGCATGTGTCCTCTGCAGTTGGCTTTTCCAGCACTTCCCTTGGAAACATTCCAGAGCCTGTGGCTAGAATGTTTTGAAAGTGGGGAAAAAAAATTAGGCTGAGTGCAAGCTTTCACTTCAGACTGTCTCCAAGTGATGCCTTGATGCAATTAGTTCTTTGCTGCTTCATGCGTGTATTCCCCAGGCAACATCAGCTATCACTTCCCTGCATCGTGGTGTTCTGGCTTTCCTTGCATTTTGAGTACAACACTATTTGTTCATAAGACTTGCTCCTCTTGATCCAGTAAAGTGACTGAGTCTTCCTGCCGTTGCGCTTGTGTCACAAGCTACAGACCAGGACCTGGCAGTCTAACTTCCTGGCCCTAGATAGTCCTGTATGACAAGGGGTTCAGGGCTCAGGGCATACCAGTTCAGAAGTAAATCCTTGAAAATGATTTACCAAGCTAAGACTGGCTGCTGGCATGTGTTCCGCTTTAAAGCTATGTTCACCCTGGCCTCCTGTAGTCAAACACTATCTCAAACCTTACTGTTTCAGTCTAAAAATATTATTGCTAATATAGCATTTTGCAAGACAAATACAAGACTAGCTTGTATGTAGCTAGCATACCTTTAGCTTCTCTAGCTAACAGCAAAGCAAAAATGAGCTCAGTCTTCACTAGTATAGTTAATGATGTGTAATGCCAAGCTGTAAAACAAATGTTTGTCTTGAGTATGTAAGAAAAGCATCAAGATGGCTCTCATAGCACATGTACAGCACCTTCTCCCTGCTGCCTTTCTTGACCTCCATCCAATGCCTACACTACTCACTGGGTGCTTTAGCTCTTGTCTAATCTTACTAGTTAGACATTTCAAGTAATTAAATGCATCTTAATTATGTCACAAATACTTGAAGACTGAAGAAACAGAATTGAAAGGTCTCTGTTTAAAAACATCACTTTAAACTCTTCTCTTTTTCAAGGTCCATAAGTGGCTCAAATATGTGAATCATCCATGGGTTTTTGTTGGGTTGTGTCTCCCCCCACGCCCTGGCCAGATACGCAGCGCTTCGTGCATTCGTAGAAGCTGATGAAGAAATGTGACACAAAATCTGGTCAAAATGCTGTAGCATAGGAATAGGCAAATAGAACATCTCCTTATTTTGAATAAAATGCTAGTAGAATAATGCAAGCTCTGATGTAAGAGCTGTCACAGACTTGAGTTGCAATGTCTGCACGCTTGGAGTGTTCATGCTACTGGAACAAAAAACTTGTTTGCTAAGGAGAGTTACACTGATGCAGTCCTGAGACTGGGCATGTTAGCATCAACACACTCTACTTTCTAAAGTATCGGGGAACTTATACTGGTGTAAAAAAAAAAAAAAAAAATACTGCTGATGCTTTATTTCATTCCAAAATAGAGCTATGTCAGTCATGCTGTGTACCTTCCATTGCTCAGTTACCTATTTAAGAACTATTCTGTATAAATAGAATCAACTTGTTTAACCTGTTTGCACCCTTAAACTGGATTCAACGGGGATGATGTAATGTACAACTACATGTGTGATGTGTGGGGTGGTTCCCCTCGCATCCCTGCTTACGCATGTTGGTCACATGGTGATGTCACACCTGGGTCACTGACCTTGTGCAAACAGAAATCACACTGGCTTACGCTCATGGGGGAGCTGTACACAGTCTTATTGGAAAAACAGTCACTCCTCACCCTCATTTCCCACCTTAAAAAAAAAAAAAAAATTACTGAAGTTTTCCAGTTTTAGCACTAGCTGATATGCTAGATAGATGCTGGTCTGCTTTCTACTTTTACTGCTCTTGATGAGTTGGAGCTATACTCCCTGGCACATACTTGTTTAATGTATTGACAAAGCAAAAAATGACACAGCCCTCCTCACTCACTTTCCTCTTTGTGCCCTTGCAAAAGCGATGCAATGTGCACTGGTGCTTAATGGCTTCTTTCAACTGATTCTAGTTTGTGAATATGCCAGAAAAACTAATCCAGCCAAAAAAGCCCAAGCTAGTGCACTTACATGGAGTTGATGTGCAATTACCAGCTCTGTGAAAGCTCTGAGCATCAGCCTTGATGCAACAATAGGTTTGAGGCCTCTGTTGCTGTTAAGCCAGCTCAGGTGCAGCAAGGCAATTTAATTTCCTCCTGCCTCAGGACAGGTGCATACCTTCCATACCTAGAGAGGAGCAAGCAGTAGTACTTGCCAGTGAAAACATTAGGAAAAGTTTCCTGCATTTGTTGTGGAGGTAGCCTGTGAGCCTTACCCTGTGCAGTGGGAGCAGAACAGACAGCAAAGCAGAGAGTTTAGGCTCCGAAACCATTTAAAGTCTGTCTATAAAGGCTGTAGCTGTGCATGTTTGTAACTTGGCCAAATTAGTAGCTCTCCTATTATTTCTCTGATATCTGGTGACTTCAAGTATTCTGTTTTCTTCCTCCAGACTGTCCTTGAAGGCCTACCTGTGAAACATCTTAAAATGTGTTTTTATTCTCTACAGGAGTCTGAGGGCAGTACTGAAAGCCTCATTTTACCAGAAGTGGAGACACCTGCAAATAATACAGCCAACCCAGAGGATAAGAACTCTGGTGAGAGCCCAGAAGGCCAAGTGCAAACCCACCTTAACTTGGAAGTTAAAAAGCCATCACCAGAGGAAAACAGAATTGCGCTTTCTGAGCGGGGCACCATCCTGCCTAGGGGCTGGAGGCGCCAAATGGAAAGGTACTGCAGGAGGATCACTGAGTCTTCACTAGCAGCAAAAACTGGGCAGAATCTTGCTTTTCATCAGAATGCCCCCTCTAATGTACCAAGCAGTAGGATACCAACAAATCGTACGGTAAGCATATGTGTGTGAAACTATTACATGATACACGTGTAATTTCAGTGGAGTTCTTAACTATTGCTTGAATGATAGATGCTGTTTTCAGGCAGAATGATAGGGAAGACGAAGCCTTGCCTTAGAGATGTAACAGAAAGTATAGGAAGTGATATCTTGGAAAGCAAACTTCAGTCCCTCCTTTAATCTGCTCTGCCTCTCTCACCTCCCTGTTCAATATTTACACAGAAGCTATTCTTTTGCAATAGCAGCATGCATTGCCTTATTGCTTCACTTCAGAGCTAGTAGCATGACTGTTTCAGCATGCGATTTTCTATACTCAATACTTTCAGCTGTGCTGTGAAATCTGTCCCCTTCCCCCTCATTGGTGTGTGTGCTGTGGAAGCAAGTAGCTCAGGAATAATCATGAGTGAAGTGCTCTAATCTGTTGGAGTAATGATCCCACATTGTATTACAGGTACGAAACCCAAAGTATCGAATAATTGTTAAAGATCTTTCTCAAAAAGGTATGTATTCCATAAATTGGCAAGACTTGGAATTTGTTTTTCTACCTGTTGACTTTAGTCTATTTAAGGAATAGTGTAGGGATGCTAATGAATATTGCTTAGAGCTATATGGCTTTCAGTTTATTGTAAAATATGCTGAAACAGGATTGAGAGAAGTTGTAATCCCTGTGGTGAATTGTTCTACTTTAAAGCATGGCTTTTCTGCACAGGGGTATAATGCAGTCATGCTTTTAAGAATAAGAATGGTACAAATTTTTTTGCATGTTTTAAACCAATCTGCATTGCAGAAGTGTACTCTGCTTTAATGAGTGAGGTGCAGGTCAGAGCAGGAGCTCTTTCTGTCAAATGTCTGCTCACACGGAAGACCACATTGCGTCTCCATGCACCTGCCAGTACCCAGCAAGTTGATGTGCTGGATGACCAAGCGACGGGTTTTGCTCATGCTGTTCTTGGTGTGGCAAACCTATACCAGTGGCATAGTGAAGTGGTTAAAGTCTACTGTTGCATAGCTATACTAAGCTTAAGTGAAGGCATGCAGGTGAATGAAACTTTCCTCAAAACCACCTTTACTGAATAGTTTCTCATCTTAAGAGACTACTTTTGAGATACGTAGACTGGTACCTTTAGCTTCTTCTAAGATCACTGAGTAGGAAACCTATTTAGATGCCAAACCTGGCCTTGCTGCTGCTGTTTGGTCTGTGGATATATTGGCTGAAAATCAATGAGAAAACATGTATGTTAGCTATATTTTGGAACCTAAGCTGATGTGTGTTGTGTGTTTGTTCTTTCAGAACTGAGAGATAGCTTTTTTGCCTTCATAAAGGAAGTGCCCCTGAAAAAATGGAAGCGGCTTATGAGAACTCATCTGCAGGAAAATGATATTGATAAAATTATTTGTGACTTTCCTAACGATACAGAAGAGCAATCTTATCAGATGCTTCTTACCTGGAAAAACTCACTGGGAGAGAAACAATCGATTATTAAGTTACTGGATGAGTTAAGGTATCTAGATAACAAGGCTTATGATAACATATTGAACACTTTAAAAAGTAATAGCATTATTAGTAAAGTAGAAGTTACAGATTAATGTTTACGACGAACTTCAAAAATGTTCCTGCATACATATGTATGTCTACAAACTTCCTGTAAATGAGGATGTCGACAAACTGCCCGTAACAATGACGGCATGGACTTGACATCCTCCTCACCTTCATGCGGGGAGCTGGAAGTGATTTAGCACCGTCGGTGTTAACCTGGACTCCGGTTGTGATGTTCACTAAGGTCTTTTGAGTTGTATAATATTAAACTCAGGCGCCGGATGCCAGCTTGAGAGCGAGGAGCTCCAGCTTGTGCTTCCCTTCCTGTGAGGCAGGACTGTGCCATACCGGCCCAGGCGGCGGGAACGAAGAAGCTGCTGCTGTTTTTGAGAAGATCACAACGCTTCAGTTTCTGAAACGATCGTGTTTTGGTTTTTGTGTTTTGGTGTTTTTTGTTTTTTGTTTGTTTTTTTTTTTTTTTTTAATTGGTACACTCAGAACTGTTATGTTTGAAGCACAGCAATAAAAGCCTGGTTGAGCCAGAAGCTGGGGTTGACTCTTGCACCTTCTTGTCTGAGGGAGGAGGGAAGCCCGTTCCCGGTCGGTTTTGGGGCCGCCCGGCTGTGGTAAACCCCCAGATGTCCCTGGGGTCTCACATGGATCATGTGTGTACTTGCACTTGTATTTAGATACATTGCTAAATAAACAATACAGAAGTCCCAACGTGGAATCTATTACAACCTGGAAATAATGTGCACAAAAAGATCTGATGCCCATAATTTGATTTTTAAGATATGCAAAAATGGTGTAGAAATATGCACCAGGCAATTACAACTACTAGTTTCATATAAAGAAACCATTTATCAGCTCTCTTTAACTGTGGACATTCACTAAAGACAAATTCATTTTTCCAACACATCTAAACATTCCAAAATGGGTCCACACATCTCTGGCTGAGATGAGAATTTAGTGTATGCTCCAATTATTTTCATTACTAAATTTCTCAAATATTTTTCTTTTTTCTTTTTTTTTTCTTCTTATTTTTTTCTTTTCTCTGTGTTTTGTGGGTTTTGTTGGTTTTTTTTTTTCTCAACCAACTGGGATTCAGACCCCCAACGCACCCTCTGGGTGCGTTGGGGGGGACCCCGCCACCGCAGGCCCCCGAGGTGCAAGGTAAGCGCAGCTATCGCGACATGCTTGGGCCAGAGGCGACGTGTGAAAATCAGCTCCCCCCAGTCCCCCGCACCCGTTGTTGGGTGAGCGTCCCTGGGGAGGTCACCTATGTCCCTCGGTGGTGGGTGACACGTAAGCAGGTCCTGATGCCGTCTCACGGTGTTGGGAGCGAGGGGTTCAAAGCGCCAGTATGTGCCTGGGTCTGAACGTGCATGGGGTGGTGGGAAACATGGACCTATAGGTGCCGGTTGCACCTCTCACAAGGACCTCTGGTGCCTTGCAAGACCATGGGAGGTGATCCACATCGTGCCTCACCACTGACGTAAAGGTTAGTGATGGCACATGGTGGTTTGTGGAAGAAACTTGGAGCTTCTCAGTAGTGAAGTCTGGAAACAGCTGCTCCCCAGCTCGAGGGGTTCGAAGAGATGATAGGTGGCTGCCAGACCACTTAGTCAGTTGTGTGTTTTTCACCACATCATCTGCTCTCTTTTGCCCGCCTCTGTCTCCCTTACTGTCTTTCCTAGTCGTCTACATTCTCCCTTGAACCAGGTCTGAACTTTTTGACTTTTCTGGACTTATTTTTGTGGTTGTGTTTTAATGATGGGTTATACTATGCTCTTCCATATGGAAGGAGGGCTAGGGTAGTCCTATAATTTTTGGCACTACTGTACCAAATGGAAACTTGGAATACCAGTCATACAAGTATGAAATACCATTATGGTATGTAAGGGGTTGGAAATTTCTGTCATTCCAGTTAAGGATCTGTAGATTCAAAGATTTTCCCCCTTTTTCTTTGTTCCTGAAAGTTACTTTGCTCTTTGTTCATCACAAGTAATGTTCCTATGTAAGGGAGTCCAGAAACATTTATTGTTGTCTAGGGACTGGCTTTTTCGGATGTTTTTTCAGTATATTAGTTACGGTAGAGGGGAAAAGACCCCTACCAAAGGCTCAGTTCAGGTACGCTTTAAGAAACTTTTTAGTTAAGTTTATTATTGGGCAAATATTATTTGCTTTTTACTTATATTGTAATTGTTACATTTAGTTTCAGTTCAGGAAAAGTGGAAGTGGAATTAACAGGGTTAAAGTGAATAGGATTGACAAGCTCTTCTTTGGTGGGATACTCCCATCTTAAAAATCCCTGCTCTGCTAAAAGCCTCTTGATCCTCGTGTGTGAGTCTTGAAAAGTCCTTTATCTCTCTGTGTGTATGCTGTGTCTTACATGTGTGGGATAGCTACATTGGTTCAGTTCTTCTGAAATTTTTATAGAAAAGGATAATTCATCTTGGCTGAGCAGATAGTTGGACTTCCTTACAAAGCTACCAGAGTGGCCAACCAGAATGATAAATGGCCAATTTGGAGCTGTATTAATAATGAGACATGTTACACTTACCTTTTATGAGTTGCTTTAAATTTGTGAAAGCCAAATTGGAAGAGAAATGACTTTTTAAAATATTCAGAAATGGCTAAGATTTCTTCTCAGTGAATGCCTCTGCAGAAATCCCAGAACATTTCAGTTGTCATCTAATTATGACTGACAAGGTTAGCAGGTTCAGGGAAGCCCAGGAAACCTCATTTTTCCCTGAAGCAAAGTAACTCCTTGTTTTTGTGTCAGCTAGTTTACTGCCTACTTTATGGCTTTTCTGTATTTACTTTGCTGACAACACCTTCAAGGAACAGATGTTTTCATTTTCAAGTTAATGAAAGTGAAAAATTTCCATCAAATTTGGTATTGTGTGAGTTACACATCTTGATTAAATTTCAAATGGTATTTTATGTGCAAATAAAACGCAGAAGCAATCTTATACCTTTGAGTTTGTGTGTTGCTACAGTCTTGCAGGCAAATTCCCAGTGTCCTTTAGTAGTCTCCGAAGCACTCCATGCATGGAGAGAAGAATGTGTGATGATTATATCGCCCAAAGAGATCATAGACCGGCAATTATTGTATGAGAAATGTATTAATTCATGTCTATAGTGGAATTTTTTTGAAACAACTTTTTAATGCAGTGGGAGTGTTACATTATTATCATTCATTCTTATGATTTTTCAAGATTATTTTGCTACCTCTCCAATACTTGTGCTCAGTGCTTGTTTTCTGAACAGTGTTGCCCTTGAATGATATGATTTGATGTCTACGAATCATTCCATTCACATGAGTTAACATTCAGTGTTATGCAACAGCTCTGTAATAGTCCTGCGTTTCTGTTGTCAAGAAGGCACTTCCTAATGCCATTGAGTTGTAGCAACTGTAATTTCTCTGTTTTGGGAGGGGGAAAAAATTGCAGTCAGAGAGAAGGGCTATTTCTTAGCTTGGGTTCCTAAAGCAACAGGGGTAAACCAGATCAGACCTATATACGTTCATTGGCCCTTCTCCCTCAATAGTTTTTGAATCCATTGATTAGTGTTAGTTATGTTTGACAGTGAGCTCTTGCACACAGTTGGCAGACTGAACAAAGATAGTTTGGAGCTGTACAAGAGGATAGGGATACTGAAGTGTATGGGGAGAGGGGATGAAGCACTAAGGAGGTACCAGGAAATATTTCAGTGGGAGTGTGTGATGAATTAAAGGCATTGTGAGACATTGAGGGAGGGGAACTGAGGGTGCAAAATACAAATCACAGAAAACCAAGATTTACTATTGCTTTTATTAGTGATATAAATTAAATCAAAACAGATCAAAATCAATCAGTTTTGACTGATTTCTTTTGCTTGAAAAGAAATGGTCCTCTGGTATACTGTCTGCCAAAGGACAGTGTTATCATATTCATTCTTTCTTCCCAGGAGAGCACCCTGTGCTTCAGGAGAAGAGCTTTTGTTTTGTTAGTTCAGTCCAGTTTGGAGCTACTCACAAGAATGCCAGAAGTGAGAATGATTTTGTCCTGTATGTGCTGAAATAGGATGCTCAGAGGTATTTCAGAATTACACTGATCACTCAGCACTCTCTCAAACACAGAAAATTTGCTTGTATCTCTGCACATGACTGCAGCAGAGGGTAGAACACACCTGTGCCAGCTTTAAGCTAGCTGTCATGGTTTGAAAAGTAGCCATCAGTCTTGAAAAGGAAGTTTGGAGCTCAGCACAGCCTGTGAAACCAACGTGGGAAACTCGTATTGGTACAGTGAGCGTGCTGGGAGCTCAAGACTGCTGTGGCTCAGCTGCTGCGGCTCAGCTGCTGCTGTGCCCTGAGAAACCCTGTCACCAGCTGCTCAGGTGTGTTCATGCTGTACTGCACTTGCTGTGGTACGCAGTCATGGACATGAGTTTGGGCTGAATTTGAGTCAGTGATCAGTCTCAGTCTCAACATAAAGACATCTTCCTGTTAGGTCCCTTGGGCTAACTGGTTTCTTTGATGTATTACACTTTCAAGTCTGCTGTTGCTCTTGCAACTAGACATAACGTCAAACTTTATAATTTCAAGAATTAATCTGTGTGCCAAGATTGTTCAAAGTAATTTTGTCTGCTCTGCTATCAGGGTTGAGCTAGTACTGACATTCTCAGGCAGTATTTGCCATCTCTCCTCACCAAAATTAGCTTATATGAGTTCTGTCATCTTTGTTGTATTTGTGTGTAAGTTTGTGCAACTTCTCTTTTAGATTGGTTTACAGATGTGGTTGGAAAGCACTTATATTGTTTCAGATACACTGACTTGCTTCCCATTAGCAGCCTGGTGTGTGAATAATGGTCATAATAACCCTAATAATACTTTGCAAATTGAGTGTTGCTTTCCTTGCAATAGGTCTTCAAAGATCTTCTCTTTGAGATATAGTTTCATTTCTACGCAGATCATTCCTGTAATACTTTTTTTTTTTATTTGGTCTTCTCCCTCATATGATTCATGGATACAAAATGCGCATTTAAGGAAGACTTATGTCTTAGGTTT